TAATATTTCTGAACTGTTTATTAGGCTAGGTGAAATCTGATTAAAAGGTTTAATTTAGGCTGGGTATAAGAGTTTGTTTTTGTGGTTTTCGATAAGTCCTCGGCCACACGGGTTATACGGATACGTAGGATTTGGGATGACGCCACAAGTGGGGTTTTACACTTGATAAGTCAGGTTTGCCATGCAATAACCTTAAATAGCCATTAACAAGCAAATTACAACCACGAGATAATTATTAATAATAGGATAATCTAATTCTAACCAACAAACTAAGATAAACATAAATTATAATATAATTCTAACAATCTAAATCTAAAATAATTTAAAGATAATCATCCTAATTAATTAATTAATATAACTAATTTTAAAATATTTTCAACAATTCACGTGGCCACAACATAAATTCAAGAATATTGCTGTGGCAATTTCTTTTCCTTGAGTTCTTGAGGAGTATTTTGACTTATCTTGGGATTTATCTCCTAAGTGGCGTCAACTCTTATCTCCATCCTTGGAGTGGCGAGCCTTTACACCACCACCTCCCTTCCTTTGTTTCCATCGCCCAACCATCATTCTTTCTTGACCGGAGCCCACAACAATTTTGGTATCAGAGCTTTGGAGACAAATCTTTATATGAACAGGTTACAATCATTCCCAGAAATTTTGAGCTTGTTCTAAGTGTCATATACGAACTTCATTCCTATATTCTACTATATTATCTTGTTCCCATCTTTCTACTTCGTTTAATCCATATTTTTTTGCATTAATTAGTAACTACTCCAAACAAGCATAGATTCTGCAAAAAAAAAATTCAGTCTGCCCAGTTAGAGAAAAAAAATTCCAAAAAAAATACTTCCGGGTGTCCTTTTGCCTTGAAAATTTTTGTGGACATAGCCAACCTATTGTTCTTTCTTACCAAAAAAATTTTTTGTCAAAATATTATTCTCAGAAATACAGAAAAATCTGTGAATCCACCCTACTGAATGAAAATTTTTGTGTATTGTCTGCTGTATTCTATACTGTCTTATGATTGATATCACGTCGATTTGCTGCTAGTATTGTGAAAAAAAAAAAACAAAAACAAAAGAGGTGAGAAGCAGCATTTGAATTTCCTTGTCTCATATGGATCATTTGTTTTTTTTTTTTTTTTTTTTTTTTTTCCAAATATTAACCTTTCTGTGAGTTTAGCCATTTTGGGTTAAGTTTCTTGACTTAGTCTTAAACTCCAAAAGAACTCCACAGGACAAGACTTGGTTTACTACTTGAGTGAATTTTATTTGTGAGATCATTATAGAGTTTTAATACACACGAGTGGTAAAATAACGAGTGATCACCCCATTAAAGAGTGCAAGTGAGGGAGTGACGTGAGGTCCAATTCTCATGCTTGGGGCGGGTTAGGAAAATGTCGGGTCCTAGTGAGATTGATGAGCAAGAATTAAGTCTTGACATGCGTCTCATGATGAGAGCCATTAAGGGACAATTTTCTAAAATGACCGATGTGATTGAGGGGTTGAACGGCCGAATAGAGAGGATGGAGGGAGATAGGAGACCAAATCAGCAAAATGATTTGGTCAACATAAGAGGCAAAATGAGAGAGCTAATGAGAGAAGGGAAGAAGGCAGTACCTAAATCAAACCTTCAATTCAAATTCACCCAACCGAATAAGCTATCCTACAATATTATTTTAGTCAGAGTGTGAAGAGAAGATCGGGCCAACCAAGCCGGTTCGCATCAGTATGTTACACTGCTAATGAAATGAGTTAAATCCATAAGCAAATAAATTCAATTCAATTAATTAGTTCATTGTTATCTAAATAATACACCTCCTGCAAAAATAATATTGTACGAACTAACTCACAAATTTAATTCAAAAACCATGTAATATGACTTATTCAAAGTTGTTTCTTGAATCTTAATTAGGTTCAGTGCCACTGAAAAGGACATTTGGAAATTGGGTTTATAGTGCAGACGATATTTTCGTGATGACTTCTTTGTCCCCACAAGCGTCTTGACTTGTCTAATGACATGGATTTGTTGAAGAGGAGGAAAAAAAACAAAACTGGAAAAAAATGTGATAGAGGCATTTATATGGGTATTCCTAGTCTGAAAAGACATGCTTTCAGACTTTCAGAGTATCATCTTGACTGGGTTGACCCTTCTTTCTGCTAAAAAAAAAAAAAAAATTAAAATTTTATACGGAGTAAAACTTATTTGGTAGAAGGATGAAATAGACATATCTACTACTCACAAGTGATCAATTATCTTATAGTCTAAAATAAGAGTTAATTGGATATAGGGAAAATGGCACTTTTTCTTCCTATGTTATATACTTATAGCACTTTTTCCCCCTCAATTATTTATGTAAGCACATTAGCCCCCTCAATTATTTTAAAAATGGTGGTTTTCTCCCCTAATATATTAAATTGACATTTCTACCCTTAAAGTAAATATTTTATTTATTTTACTTCTCCAATAAATTATTGCGTATATGTAGCGATTACCACGGTTCGGTTCGAACTGAACCAGACACTATAGCAATCAAATTAAAAGTTTTCAGTTATGATTCAGATCTAGAACCCAATATTTGGATTTCAATTTATTAAATTTAAGAATTAAAAAAAAAAAAAAAAACTGGATCATGAACCGGCGGTTCCGGATCCCGTTCGTGATTTTGAACCGTCTTTATTTTAAAATTTTATTTTTTATTTTAAAATAGTTTAAATTTAACAATAAATGTATTTTATTTTTTTTAGTTTGGAACATGAACCGGCCATTCCAGTTCGCGATTTTAATAAACTCTAAATATCGCGTTTTGATTTTAAATTGTAATTGGAATATTTTGGTTTGGTTACTATAGTATCTGGTTTGAACCAAATTATAGTAATAATTTATTGGAGAATAAAAATAAATGAAATATTTATTTTAAGGGTAAATATGTCCATTTAACATTTCAGTGGGAAAAAGAGCCACTTAAATAATTAAGGGGGAAAAAGTGCTATAAGTATATAATATAGGGGGGAAAAAGTGCCATTTTCCCTTGGATATATAAATTTTCTTACATTTTTGCATTTACTATTTTTTACAAGTTTTATCTGATTTTAATGACATGCCATCCAGTTAAACTGATGTGACTGAAAAATAATATTTTTTGACATGACATCCAACAGAATAATATTTTTCTTAACATGACTTCAATTCATCAAAAAGGATATTTGTCACTTTTCAGTGGCTCCAGTTCTACTGAAATGTGGAATTATAATATAATTCCACCTTCCAATGGAATTATAATATAATCCCACTCACCCTCAACGTTAGAATGCTCAGCACCTTAGTCTTCGTCAACAAAATAATATTTTTCAATTTTTTTTTTTTTTGGATTGGAAATGAAGAGGAAACTCAACTCTCGGAATCAAGCACTACTCAATGATTAATCAAGCACTATATAGTGGTACTTAAATTCAGTTACGTTTCCATAAGTGGTCTTGCAAGTTGCAAAGGCTTTTGGCCATTCCGTCAATTATCATCGCTATATAAGGATTATAAGGTGATGATATTGAAAAAAATAGGTTTTGTATTAGGAAGGAATGTATACTTGGGCAAATTATACAAGAAGGAATGTATACTTGGGCAAATTATACAAGAGACCATAGCCCACATTGTAAAGTGAATTATTAACAATTTAACATAAGGTACATTATATTTTTAATATACTAAATGTTATATTATTTGTATACTGATTTTTTCATTATTTGATGATGTGCTAAATATGAACCTTTAGTATTCAAATAATAAATTTTCAGTACACAAATAATGAACCACCTTCAATATATTATAAATGACATTATTTTAGTGTTCCACCTTATATATAACTTGAGCAATCGTTATGCGTTGGACCCGTGTCCAGTATGCTTGCTGGACACGGGTAACAGTGCCGTTAGGCACTGTTATCTTTTTTTTTTTTTTTTTTTTTTTTTTTTTTTAAATTTCAGACCGCTTCGTTATAGAAGTATATGTTCATAATTTTATTACTATATGTTAATAACTGTACATTCATAACTCCATAACTGTACGTTCATAACTCTATAACTGTACATTCATAACTCCATAACTGTACATTCATAACTCCATAACTGTACATTCATAACTCCATAATTGTACATTCATAATTTTCGAAGCTCTATGTTCACAATTTTAGAGCTCTATGTTCATAATTTTATCACTATATGTTCATAATTGTAAGTTCATAATGTTAGAGCTCTTTGTTCATAATTCGATCAATAACTGTACATTCATAATTCCATAACTGTAGATTCATAATCTCATAATCGTAGATTCATAACTCCATAACTGTAGATTCATAACTCTATAACTGTACATTCATAATCTTCGAAGCTCTATATTCACAATTTTAAAGCTCCATGGTCATAATTTTATCACTATATATGTTCATAATTGTAAGTTCATAATGTTAGAGCTCTGTGTTCATAATTTCATAATTGCATAACTGTACATTCATAACGGCATAACTGTACATTCATAATCCAAAAAAAAATAACGCCGTTAACACCAAAACGCGCGCAATTTTTTTTTTTTTAAAACTAAATGACGCGTTTTTTTTTTTTGAAAAACGACGTCATTTTGGGCCCGTGTCCACAATTCATTGTGGACACGGGTCCAGGGCATAATTTGCCTAACTTGAGGATCATGGCCAATGGTATGGTGATTGCTAATTTGCTATACATCCATGTCATTTGACATAGTCAATGGACCTGGTGACCTGGTGACCTGGTTGACCGGCATTTATGGAGGGTATCTAGCTAGCCAATATAAAAATCGAAATAATACTATTATTGAAAATATAATAAATTTTATTACGATTTTCTTTTATATTTTCTGAAAAATGAAAGACAGGAAACACATTGGCAATTTCAATATATTTAATTTACCCTCAATTTTTATAAAGCCAAAAAAAAATTGTGTATTTCTCTTCTGATCTCCTCCTTGAGCCTAGTCAGCTACAGTGGTCGTAGATGGGAAGCTCAGGCAGGTGGTGGTGGTTGGCGGTGGTGATGTTGGTAGTATCAGTATCAGAACCTGCGTTTTCCGACCCACAAACAAACCAAATAGGCAGCCTGGGTTGCAGCACGTACAATGTTACGGATGCACAAGATTATTACATCAGGGAACTCAACCTCAGCTTTGTTGATCTCAGAAACCAGTTATCCGGCGGCGACAAACGCTTTGCCACCACCACTCAGCGGGCTGTCTACGCAATGGTACAGTGCAGAAAGTACCTCTCCACTGCGGACTGTGTGGCCTGTTTCGATGCCGCCGTGTTAGTAACCCGAAACTGCCCCATCGCCACCAACTCTGCTATTGTCATATTTGATGGCTGCTTTCTCAGGTGAGTTGTAGTATGCTTAGCTTAGGCGATATTAATTTAGTTGAGATGGACCACATGCTTCAGTTCTGTGCCTGAGCGAGCTTTTAATTTGTTTGTTTTAATTTGTATAGGTACCAGGAGAGTTACTTCTATGATCAGATTACAGATCGGATTACAGCAGGAACCTATCCAGTTTGTGGCAATCGAACTGCCCGAAACCAACAAATTTTCAATGCGTCAACACAACAACTACTAAATGAGCTTCTACTTGCAACGCCCAGAATTCATGGCTTTTACGCTGCAGTAAAGCTGGAGGAACCTGGTGGTCGTGGTGGTGGTGCTACCAGTTATGCGGTGGCGCAATGTGCTGAAACCGTGACCCAAAGCAGCTGTCAAGATTGTTTGTCATTAGCTTACAATAACATAAAGAGTTGTTTACCTAATTCTGCGGATGGAAGAGCTGTTGATGCAGGATGTTTTTTGAGATATTCAGACACCCCTTTTTTTGCTGATAACCAGACAACTGACATAACACCCTTCCTAGGAAGAGGTATGTACGTACTAGAATATGTTGTCTTTCTTGTCTGCTGTTTCTTAAACACGTACTCTGTAAATATGAAATGAAAGTTTTAATTAATGTTGGAAGCATCATCTAACTGGTAGCATGCATCTTCTCCAGGGAGTAGTTCAGGAAAGAAGAAACCTATTCTTCTTGCGGGTGTAGTTGGTACTGTAGGAATCATTTTGGTATTAGCAGCCCTTTTCCTTTTGTATCGACAATCAGGAAAGCAAAATAATGCTTGGAGAAAAGGTGAATTGAAGTTCGTTTAGTGGCATTCATCATATCCAATATTCATATTTTATAATTTTAATGTTCAGGTATGTGTTAACTTATGGACTCTGTCTTCTTCTATAGGCAGTATTGTGGGGGCAGAGAGCTATATATATAAAGATTTGAAAGCTGCAACAAATGATTTCAGCGAAGAAAATATATTGGGTAAAGGAGGTTTTGGTGATGTATATAAGGTGATCTGAGTAACAATTCATGAGGGTAGAAATTTTAGAATTCAAAGAATAACCAAAGCTACTCTTTTATGACTAAACAGGGCACTCTACAAAACGGGGATGTGGTGGCAGTAAAGAAACTTACAACAATTTGTAGTAGAGCAAAGACAAACTTTGAGACTGAAGTTAGTCTTATTACAAATGCGAATCATCCCAATCTCATTCGTCTATTGGGATATTCTGGCAATGAAAAAGTGCTCATACTGGTTTATGAATACATGGCAAATGCTAGCCTTGACAGATACATATATGGTACTCCCATCCTCAAACTTTATATTGTACGTTATATGAAAACTTTTCTCATCCCATTTTTCATGAATGAATTGGTAGGAGAGAAGCGAGGAATGCTGAATTGGAAGCAAAGGATTGACATAATATTGGGTACCGCTAGGGGTCTTGCGTATCTTCACGAGCAGTTCGATGTATGCATCATACACAGAGACATCAAATCCAGCAATATACTACTTGATGACGAATTCCACCCCAAAATAGCTGATTTTGGTTTGGCAAGGCTTCTACCAGAAAATAAGAGTCATCTTACAACTAAATTTGCAGGGACTTTGTAAGCCTAAGAACCTTATATTTTGTTTTCCACATTTTCTTTTCACTTAACTATTGCTTGTTGCAACGCAATAGGGGATATACAGCGCCAGAATATGCAATTCATGGCCACTTATCGGAGAAAGCTGACATCTATAGTTTTGGCATAGTCATCCTGGAGATCATCAGTGGGAAAAGGAGCAGTGATTTACAAGTTGAGCCTATAACTGGGTATCTTCTTGAACAGGTAATTTCTTGTCTGAAGATAGAAGCCAATTTATCTTGATATATTATTTAACATTATTAGACTTCTGTATATATGTATCATTTTTTATAATAAATATAGGCATGGAAACTATACGAGAATGATGAACATCTAGGACTGGTGGATAATAGTTTAGACTCGAATGAATATGAAGCAAAGGAAGTGAAGAGAATGTTGGAAATAGCATTGGTGTGCACCCAATCACCCTCGAATATAAGGCCAAGCATGTCAGAAGTGGTGGTCATGCTTTCCAGTACTGATGCCTCAATCATTCAAAAACCCCAAAACAGGCCAACCACTATTACTGATTTCGATAAGAGGATACTTACAACTACAAGCAGTTCAACATTTACTAATGCCACCATTTTATTTTCTCGTTTCTCAGGCCGCTAACACCTCATATTTTGATCTTGCTAGCTTGCTTGTGTTGTGTTTGTACTTATTTATAGATTTTTAGGAAAATTGTAAAAAATGTCCCTCTATAATATGTCAATTATCAATGTCACCCTGAATTATGAGTGGTGTAAATGTTGCCCCTCAATTATCAAAATGGTGCATATATAACCCATCCCGTAATGGACTTGTGGTTCCCCACCGCTGTCCATCGTTGGTACTTCGAATCGAGGGAGGGAAAAAACAATTAAATTACATATTTACTATGACTTAACGGTGTCGTACACTAATGGGGAACCACATGTCTGTTACGGGAGAGGTTATATGTACACCGTTTTGATAATTGAGGGGCAACATTTATACTACTCATAATTCAGAAGTGACATTAATAGTTGGCATATTATAGAGGGACATTTTTTATAATTTTCCCCAGATTTTTTGATCTGTAAATAAATATAGATATGTACATGTTAGACAAATTCATACAAACATAGCGGAAGCATTCATGCTTTTTCTAGATTCTATGTTTAAAGAGGAAACTAGTTTCTCTTAAATGAAAACTGTTTTTCTTGACTATTTACTAAACCTGATTTGCGCCCATTCGCCCAAAGGTTCTAGCTTTTAAAACTCATAACTTGAGCAGATCCTAACTGTAAGAGACACTTTTAAATTCGTAACATACTCAAATTAATCCTCATTCGCACGGGACCAACCCAGGAGTAAAGTGCTCAGATGGCCAGAATTAAAATAATTCATTAATAAGTTATTAATATATTAATTCAATTTTGATAACTCCTTTTATATATATACTAAAAATGGTGGGGATATCTACTAAAAATGGTGGGGTGGGGGGAGGGCCTGCAGCCAGTCAATTATCAACGCTCTAATGTGATGATATTGAATAAAATAGGTCTTGTACGTATTATGAGGGAAGCTATACATCCATGTCATTTGACATAGTCAGTGCACCTGGTTGACCGGCATTTATCCAGGGTATCTAACCCATATCATATAAAATTAGAAAGAGTTAATACCCAAAATCGTCCTCGACTATAGTGGTTTTTCTCAATTTCGTCCTAAACGACTTTGGTGACCTAATATCATCCCAGATTTTTGTGTTTCGCTCAATTTAGTCCTCCATTTGTTATTCCGTCAAATTGGTGTTAAATAAAGGGACAATTCAATAATGTCAATATTGATCTCTCTTTACTTTCAACTTGTGAAGTGCGAAATTCCTCTTTCTTGTACGAATTACACCCAGAATTACTCCCGGACCTACAAATCAAATTTTATATTCGCAGTTTTAGGAGTAATTCTGGGAGTAATTCGTAAAAAAAAAAGGATTTCGCAGTTCACATGTCTATGAGTAAAGAGATGCCAATATTAAAATTACTGAATTGTCTATTTATTTAACACCAAATGGACAGAATAACAAATGATGAACTAAATTGAGCAAAAACACAAAAGTCTGGGACTAAATTGAGCGAAACACAAAAGTCTGGGACGATATTAGGTCACCAAAGTCGTTTAGGACGAAATTGAGAAAAACCACTATAGTCGAGGACGATTTTGGGTATTAACTCAAATTAGAAATGATATTATTCATTGAAAATCAATTTTATTATAATTTTCATTTATATTACCTGAACAATGAAAGACAGAAACCAAGACCGGGAATTTCAATATATTTACCCTCTATTGTTTTTAAGCCAAATTTGTGTATTTCTCGTCCTTGACTCTTGAGCCTAGCTACACTGGTCGTACATGGCAGGCCCAGGCAGGTGCTGGTGGTTGGCGGTGGTGATGTTGGTGGTATCAGTATCAGAACCTGCGTTCTCCGACCCACAAACAAACCAAATAGGCAATCTGGGTTGCGGCCCATACAATGTTACTGATGCCCCAGATTATACCAGGGAACTCAACATCAGCTTTGCTGATCTCAGAAACCATTTATCCAGCGCCAACAAACGCTTTGCCACCTCCACTCAGCGGGCTGTCTATGCAATGGTACAGTGCAGAAAATACCTCTCCACTGCGGACTGTGTCGCCTGTTTCGATGCCGCCGTGTTAGTAACCCGGAACTGCTCTGTCGCCACCACCTCTGCTATTGTCATATTTGATGGCTGCTTCCTCAGGTAAGTTGAAGTATGCTAATTATTCGGCTTTAATTTTAGCTGAGATGGAGCACATGTTTCAATTCAATCCTGTGCCTTATGTATAGGTACCAGGAGAGTTATTTCTACGATCAAATTACAGATCCGATTACAGAAGGAAATTTTCCAGTTTGTGGCAAACGAACTGCCCGCAACCAACATATTTTCAATGCCTCAACACAACAACTTTTAAATGAGCTTCTACTTGCAACGCCCAGAATTAATGGCTTCTACGCTGCAGCAAAGCTGCAGGAGGAATCTCCTGGTGGTGGTGGTGCTACCACCTATGCGGTGGCGCAATGTGCTGAAACCGTGAGCGAAAGCAGCTGTAAAGATTGTTTGTCATTAGCTTACAATAACATAAAGGGTTGTTTACCTAATTCTGCAGATGGAAGAGCTGTGGATGCAGGATGTTTCTTGAGATATTCAGACACCCCTTTTTTTGCTGATAACCAGACAACTGACATAGCAACCCTCATAGGAAGAGGTATATATGTATATCGATCTATAATTTCTTGCTGTTTCTAAAGCACTCTGTCTTTGAATAAGCATCTTCAATTCTCCAGGGAGTAGTTCAGAAAAGAAGAAACCAATTCTTCTTGCGGGTGTAATCGGTACTGTAGGGATCATTTTGGTATTAGCAGCCCTTTTCCTTTGGTATCTGCAATCAAGAAAGCAAAATGCTTGGTTAAGAGGTGAATTGAAGCTCCTTTAGTGGCACTCATCATATTTTATAATTAATTTTAGCCTTCTTTTCACTGTACGTGTTAACTTATATATGGACTGTGTTCTTCTATATATATAGGCAATATTTTGGGGGCAAAGTGCTACATATATAAAGATTTGAAAGCTGCTACAAATGATTTTAACGAAGAAAATATACTGGGTAAAGGAGGTTTTGGTGATGTATATAAGGTGAGTAACAATTCATGAGGACATGCAGAATGAAATTTCAGAACATATAACCAAAGACACCACTCTAATCTTGTATGACCAAACTGCAGGGCACTCTACAAAGCGGGGATGTGGTGGCAGTAAAGAAACTGACAACAATTTCTAGTAGAGCAAAGGCAAATTTCGAGACTGAAATTAGTCTTATTACAAATGCGAACCATCCCAATCTCATTCGTCTATTGGGATATTCTGGCAATGGAAAAGTGCTCATACTGGTTTATGAATACATGCCAAATTCTAGCCTTGACAGATACATATATGGTACTCATATCCTCAAACATTATATTTGATCTACTTAATGATTAGCAGTATTTTTTATGAATAATTAAAACTTTTTCCAACCATTTTTCATGATTGATTTGGCAGGAGAGAAACGGGGAATGTTGAATTGGAAGCAAAGGGTTGATATAATATTGGGTATAGCTAGGGGTCTTGCCTATTTGCATGAACAGTTTGATGTATGCATCATACACAGAGACATCAAATCTAGCAATATACTACTGGATGATGAATTCCAGTCCAAAATAGCTGATTTTGGTTTGGCAAGGCTTTTACCCGAAAATAAGAGCCATCTTACAACTAAATTTGCAGGGACTTTGTAAGCCTAACAACCTTATTTTGTTTTTTACATTAGTTTTCTTTACACTTAACTATTGCTTGTTGCAACATAACAGGGGATATACCGCGCCAGAATATGCTGTTCATGGCCATTTATCAGAGAAAGTTGACATCTATAGTTTTGGCATTGTCATCCTAGAGATCATCAGTGGGCGACGGAGTAGTGACTTACAAGTTGAGCCTGTAACTGAGTATCTCCTAGAACAGGTAATTTCTTGTCTTAAGAATTAAGCAGCCAATTTATCTTGATATATTATTCAACATTTGACTTTTAAATATATGTACCATTTTATAATAAATACAGGCATGGAAATTGTACGAAAATGATGAACATCTAGAACTGATTGACAATAATTTAGACACAAATGAGTATGAAGCGGAGGAAGTGAAGAGAATGTTGGAAATAGCATTGGTGTGCACCCAATCACCCTCGAAGATAAGGCCAAGCATGTCAGAAGTGGTGGTCATGCTTTCAAGTACTGATGCCTCAATCATTCAAAAACCCCAAAACAGGCCAACCACTATTACTGATTTCAATAAGAGGATTCCTACAGCTACAAGCACTTCAACACTTACTAATGCCACAATTTCATTTTCTCGTTTCTCAGGCCGCTAGTTAGGCCTTTTTTGATCTTGCAAGCTTGCTTGTGAATAGTGATGTGTTTGTATTTATTTATTTATAGATTTTTTACCCATAAATAAATATAGATATGCACGTAGAACAAAATATAAGCATGTTTGTGAGTCAATGATTTTTTCTTATGTTACAAAAAAAATAAAAAAATTAAAGACTTGTGAATACCTGATACCATGAGTCCATGAGTTTTCTAAAGATGCCTATTAGATTCTCTGCAAATGGAATAGTTAATAAGTTTATTCTTTGAAATGTTAGTCTATTTCTTGACTTATTTTATGAGCTCTACCTGCTATAATAATAGTTCCCTAGAATAGTTATTTACTAATGTTAACTAACACAAAACACTTAAAACTCAGTCGTGACAATGACACCAAAGCAGGGATTAGAATGAGGATACATTAATTTTATGCCAAAGCTAAGGAATAAGTAAGGGAGATAAAACTTAACTTCGGATTCAAAAATTGCCAACACCAACTCAGTATACTAACACACCACTTTAGTGATCCAATGTTAGGTCGAGTCGGAATACGAGATTGTCTCACTATCGTGAGGCTTCCAATCCTTCTCATTATTAGGCTCAAGCAATCTTGACCTTTAATATTCTTTGCTCTTGTAAGTGAACTTACCCCTAAAGGCTGAATCCCCAACCCTAAGGGCCCCCCACACTCCGACCCGACAGAGCATGTGAGATCTTGTAAGTGAACTTAAAGGTCGTGAGACGGGGTCTATAAGACGTTGGCGATTGAGAGACGAGTCTAGAGGTATGATAACCTTTGTACTCCTTGCTCAAATATATGGTTGCCAAATCTCAAACTAGACAAGTATCGAAAAGGTATGTTGTGCACAAACCCATCAACACAAGAGCACAAAAGCATATCACAAAGACAATAACCCTAAGATGAGTATTAAACCTTCTTATGCCGTAGGCATCAAATTGACAAATAGGCATAAAATACAATATTTACCTCAACCCAATACCTAAACTAAACTACTCACTCATAAACATAAATAGCAAAAGAATATCCAAAATAAGAGTTAATTTTCTTCTCTTTTTTTTTTTGGTCC